TTGTAGTGGCTCTGGGCTCACGTTTTTACTCAGCGCGACGTCCCTCTCGAGCTCGCGTTGGCTCTCCTTGCCCTGCGACCTGTTGTCGCCGCCTAAGCCTTGCTCCTCAGCAACTGGTTTGGATCTTCACCGTTCTATGAACGAGCGTACGTGTGAGTCATGCCCGTCCTTCGTCTTGCGGTGACTCCGGGCTCACGGCTTTCTTTTCCTCCTGCTTAGCACGACCGTCTTCTTGAGCTGCGCACCGACATTGGCTTCCCTTTCCATGCGATCCGTTGTCGCCGCGCAAGCCTTGCTCTTCAGCAATTGTGCCGGAGCTCCATCGCTGTTCAAGTAAACGTACGAGTAAGTCTCGTCCATTCTTTGCCTTGTGATGGCTAGAGGCTTAGACTCCCCTTTCCGATGTTGTTGGCGTAGTGAGACCCTCGATATTGTTGTCTCGATCTCAGTCTGGGCGAAAGGAGAGATCCACCCAAGACCTGAGTGCGCTGATTGCTGGGCTATGCTGGGGAGGGAGGGGCGTTGCTTGTCCTATTGAACGCGGTAGGGCTGCAGACAGACTGTCTGTCCATGAGCCAGATATAGATGCACGGCTCATTGCCAGCAGACGATGCGAGAATGGCATTGACCGACGCCTCAACTGCGTCTAATCCTGGTTAAAATTGAAAACCGAGTCGTGTTATCAGGCGAGACCATAGATGCGTCGGTCATCGGAGATCGGACCGTCTGCGGTCGGATCATCTGCGGTCGGTCCGCTCTGCCGATCTCATAAGCTGATGCGGATGTCCAACCCAGCATCTTCGTCTGCGACGCCGACCGTCGAGGTCCACGCGTGCGCAAAGGCCCTTTTTGCTCACCGGCTACCGATGCGCCACGTACACTGGCTCCTCATATCTATCTGATACTAGTGCCGTCGTCGTTGTATCTGATAATGGGCCGTTCAAGGAAGGTGTATACGTCTTCGTGCTACCTGACGCTCCCACTTTCCTGTCGGAGTCGGCCCGCTTTTTCAACCGTGTCCTGATGACCCTCGAACGAGAATTATTTTTGATGGTAGACTGCGATACAAATAGTCGCATGAACACAGAATTCTTGCCCTGCTTGCGCATGTCTCGAGCTCCAGGGAGATATCTCCGAGCGATGTGTTCAAGAACGAGCTTCATCTACTCCGCGACTGTAGTCTTTGTCCTAGTCTAGCCCCCGTTTCGGATGCAGGCCAATTACGTCACATTGATCCTTCTTGCGACTGTGGTCACATACACCGCCAGGCTGTGTCATTTCTGAAAGATCACGCCTGCACTCAACGTGAACTCGCGTCGTCATATAAAACAGGCTGACGGGGACCCGGCGATCCGGAGATATGTACCAGACGGGGGGCCGAGCGGCTTGGAGTATGTAAATTAATGATGCAAAGGGGAGTGACGCGACGGTCATAGGTTTGTCTCAAACCCTCACGTCCTCTTCGCTCTCCGCTATGGACATTGGTACTCAGCACTCGGATCCTTGTATCGGCACGGCAGGGAATGAGGGCAGCTGGGAATATGATGCTTGTACAGAACCCTGGCCCGACGAGCTATCCCGTCCACCGAGGTTCGACGTCCACGGCTGGTTCAGGGATATGTTCTCGCCACCGCGCAAACGTGCCGTGCACTCCATTTTAATGGATTCCGAACTTTGGACGGAAAGTATGGATGCGAAGGTTGACGAGCTGATGAATTCGGCGGCCAATATGGCGCTGACGCGGAAGACACCCCGTCTCGAGCGTGAAGAGGTTTTGGAGTATGTTGCCGTCAAGTTTCTCAAGGCGTCGGGTCAAGAGCTTCAGACGGCGATGGAAAGGAAAAGGGAGTTGCTTTTCCAAAGGGATTTGGCGAGGTGGAAGAGCGAGCTGCTCGAAGCGCATAATAGTGCCGAAGATGCTGAAGAGTGCGTATATCACAGGGACTCATATTACATATTCGTAACTCAACGGTTGAGCGCTGAGCAGGTTTGCGGCCGACCTGGTGCCGATAATGACAATGATAGCCGATTTGATTGCGCAAAAGTGCTCGGGCTTATGCGCCTTCTACTACACGGGCCCACATGAGGTGCATTAGTACGTGTTACATCAGGAACGTGTGTGAGATCGAAGTGTTAATGGATGAATGCAGTGCCGAGGGTGTTTGTGACCTGCCTGGGCGGGCTGTCAAAAGCTTTGCTACCATGGAGTCAAGCCGGGCCCTGCACCTGAGCATCCTGTCGCAGATCACGACGCAATCGAGGCTGGTCAATGGTGGGTGATAGGCTCCGAGTCCGCGTGCTTATTTAGTGCTTACGGGTCTCCAGCCTACAAGTGGGGCAACACAAAGGATGGTCAACCGGCAGGGGAAGCGGCATCCTCGGGCGACAGCTACGACGATGCAATGATCGTAGACGAGATTGGTGTGGCGGACATTGGCGGTAGAAGAGATGAAAGCGCAGGACTGCCAATGGAGAAATGGCGTATTGCTACACCCGATGGACCGATGGCGGAGATTCAAGGATCGGCAGCCATATACGCTGTTGTGGCCCGGGTGAGTGAATGTGAATGATGCAAGGATACGTAAACTGATATTGCACCTCTACAGCAACACGAGAAGAATTGCCAGGCGTTGTGTGCCGTCCTGGAAAAGCGTAAGGAGTGGTTTGCGTCATTGAAGATGACGCCCTACCTCGTTGCTGTGCCGAAGAGACTACACGGCGGAGTTGACATCGATTTAGGGTGTGGTGTTACTCAAGCGTATCTGAACTTCGAGATGAGTAATGCAGTAAGTTGTGCCGGAACCATTCTGGTCTTTATAGACTTACTCTGTGAAGGAGGAAGGCGCTATCGTGATGAGGGCCATTGACGACGCCGGACAGTGGCCTGTGTACACTTCGGACCTCATAGGCAAGAGGTTGCGGGTGGTGTGGAAAAGGCGAGCGGAGGCGGGCAAAGGTCGCATGAAGATGTTAGATCACGACGTGGACCAGTCTCTGCCACGTCAATGGGCCGCGCAGCAGCCCAGCGAGCGTCGAGGAGACGGGGACATGGTGATGGTCGGCTCCAAAGACACAGTCGGACATCTTCCAGCCGGAGCTGACGGCGTGCGTGTCTTGGTGGTGACGCTTCTGTCGTGGGGGTGGGATATCAAGGAAAATGGGCGGCAGAGTGAGGTGGCGGTCTGGGAGAGCTTGGCTCGAGACTATATTGTTGTTTTGGAGGCGTTGGCGAAGCAGGCAGGAAACTTCAAAGCGCCGCAGAGATCGTACAACAGTCGCGCTGAAGGCAAACGGTAAGGGATGCATATAGTATAGCGAATGGCGTGCTGATATGTGCGTCTTCTAGGATACCCAAGGTAACTGAGAAGGCGAAGTTATGGGCGGAGAGCATGGAGAGCGAAGATGAAAACGATGTTCAGTAGAGCTATATGGTATACTGGTTGTCTCCGAGACATAGATCGTGCGAGTAAAGGCCCATAGGTGTAGGCAGACGGCGTCGGAGACCACAAGGGAGTGGGAACACGACGGAAGACTAAGCTAGGCATAGAGCGGCCATACAGTCGATCTCCAAACTTCTGCTACGGAGCAGTATTGATCAATACGCCGCACTGATCTGGAAGCGCCGGCGGGCGTTCCTATGCTCTGTGCCGAGTCAAATTTCAATCTACTATAGTGGTTCGAGATCAGCTCACCGGGTCGACCTTCTGCTGGCACTCTCAAAATCTGAGGGTGGAGCCAACTAGTGTCAATGTATGGAAGATGTATTATAATCCTAGACCACCGTATGAGGTATAAGAAGCTACCGTAGGGGATGAAGTGGGACGTCTGGCCAACACACCAAATTCGTCGGGTGCCGTGGGAGTACATTACAGCATCGGGGATTATTGCTGGCGACGCCCACGACGTGGATGTCTTAGCGCGCGCAGCGCCCATGGCGTACGCTGCAATTGTACTGTTCTGCTTCGAATTTCTCATGCTCGGTCTTCCGTATCGCTGCTCGTCTCACGCTGTAGGGCTCCGCCGAGCACGATCGCTGGGCGCCGTCCTTGCAGACTTAGAAGCGCTTACTACGCCGCTCGCTTTACCTCTTGCTTCCCATACAGCTACGGCTACCACTGTCGAAGACGCGGTTATATCCGATCCCGAGGAGGGTACCTCTTTGCCTTCTACACAAGACCGCTGGCACGGCACCTTCTACTCCTGTGACTGCGCCTCCTGTAGACGATGACGATCGCCCGCTCACTCCTAAGCCATCGCCAACATCTACCCGCAGTCATAGAATTCAATTGATTTCTTACTTGTACGGGGTCCACGTCAACCAAGGCCTCGGGTCCAAACTGAATACGAAAGTTCAAGAAGCCCGTCGGGCCTGACGAAGACCTCGAAGATTCCCCGACCACTAGGGCGCAGGACAACGCGAAGGAGCTTCCGCCGTTTGATGAGCAGATGCGAGGTCCTGCGAGGACGAAGGAGAAACAGTTGGACTGCTAGGCTCACAATGATTGCCATTTGAGTCCTGTTGTTACCTTCTGCGATCCATCGGCAATGCGTGTCGATACGACCGCGTGTCTTCCAAGGCCATCACCGACAGCCAAGAGAACTCGGGGATCACACCGGCTGTTCCGCGCCGCGCGCCTGAACACCCAGCCCTCTCGCGACATCTCTCAGTGCAAGCGAAACGCTAAGCATAAAGAAACCCTCGCATCCTGCTCAGGACGTGAACCCCCGACCCGTCTGATCTTTACTATAGCCAGGTTCGTGTAAAACGATTCGTTGCGCTATGAGTTTCCGTTGACTTGCTTCCAGCGTGCGGATGATATCCCTCGGCCGTCCACGAGGATCACAGCCAACCCGCCCGGTCTCCCGTATCCAGGTTGTGCTTAGGTCCGTGACAATAGTCCATCCCGTATAGGCCTATCGTCGACCCTCACCGACGTGTTGCAGCCTGTACCCCGCCGCCCCGAACCCTGCGCGCAAAACTTCGGCTCATCGTACTCCACCCAGTTCCGGGCTGGGCGGATGACCTTAGCGCTCCTCACGGGCAGTTTATGAAATTGCTGAAGACCTTGCCCAAGCACGGCGAAGCCGAGCGGTCGGCCGCGCGCGCAGATGCGCGCCATGCCCCGCCCAAGCTGCCACCCCGTAGGGACCAGGTTCGACGGTCAGAACACCGCATTCGAGTTCATCCGTCCTGGTGATTTGATGAATGATGGCCTCAGGCAGGCGAAGCTAGAGATGTGGGACCGTGGCGCAAACAAAATGACTTACGGTGCTTGAACCATCCGTATCTTGCCTGATCGGTATTCGTTCTTGTATCATATAGGATGGGACATCGGAAATACCGCCTCACAGCCTACGTCATTAAATGGCGCCGGCAGATCGTTTCAAATATCATTCCGTTTGTTCTTGGATCATAGCAGGAGGGCTAATAGCATTTGTCGGCGACACCGTCTTCGTGAAATACATGCCTACCTATGACATAAACTCTTTCCGAGAGTGCAATGTTTAACCAAAGCAACTTCCGCTGTACCATCAGATCCTCTCAATTGCACGAGAGCTGTGTATTGGTCAATCGTAGGGCGGCAGGACAGTCGCTATTCTCCGGAACGACGTACCTTGTATGCCAGTCGATATGCTTTCTGGCCCAGATCTGTTGCGCCTCGACCTCGGCTTCGCACCGCTGTTCAGTGTCTATCCTGCTGAGAAACAGCCTGTGGGCCAACCGGAAGGACACGCACTCCATAGACCAACTTGCGATTGCGGTAGTCTAGTGCCGCTTCGCGTAGGTTTCCCGTCTTTGCACTGGGGGACCTTGATGGTCAGACGACCGCTGATAAACCCTCGATGCCTTCCCGGACGGGCTGTCTGTTAATGGCGAAGTCCCCAGTTCCCAGCGAGGTGTGCAATTACTAGAGATCGCGGAGGCTACGGGCCTCATGCATTACGAACGGCGAGATATATTCGTGAGCAATCGCGCGATCAACGCACGTGATCGCGTTCAGTTAAACCAACGCGCGTGGCGCGTCGGACGCGTCTTGTTCCAGGGCCACGATGAGTTCGTTCGAACTTCGGGATGAGCTCGAGGAGATCAAGAGTATCAAGAAGTACAAGATCAACAACGAACACGATGTCTCGTCTATGGACCAGCATGAGGTCGACGACATCCTTAGCCGTACGTGACACATGAACACTACCGTTCTTGCTTGTAATTGACGAAGTTGAATCATAGGTGCCGTTGACGCTATCTCTCAAGACTTCGCGAACGTCACGGACGACGAGACTCTGGATATTTACCGCAGTGTTCTCAAGGGAATCATGACCAGCCCGCAGAATATCCCTCCAGTCTTCATGACCAAGATCCTGGATTCGCTCGCGTCCGCCTTTACCGCCGCCGTCGAGGACACGACCAGATACGTCGACAACTTTGGACCGGAAGAGTTGCGAGAACGGCGCCAAATCCTCGAAACATATGCTTTCCTGCTCCACTGGTTCGTGATGGGAGCGGACAAGTACAAGGGTGTCGCCGGTGCTGCCGACGGCGTGTCCGTTGTGCCCAAGCCGCGGAGAGGAAGGGGCGGGAAGGCGGCTGCGGCTGGGCGCGCGAAGAAGGGCGCGGAGTGGTCGTGGGTCGAGCAGATCGAGCCGACGCTTGAACTCATCGTCAAGGCGCTCAAGATTCGCTCGCAGAGGATATGGACGACGACTGCAGACCGCGAGACGTTCCTTGAGTACGTTTTCTATTATATTCACACGTATATGGCATACCAATTGTATTTCTAGTCCGCTCATGAGCCCAGTCTACCGCGTGATGGAGAACGAGGCGTACATGAAGTTCGAGACCATCCGCGCCAACATCTTCCAGGCCATCTGCCTCGCCGTCAAACACCACAACCACAGCAAAGCCGCCCAAGCCAAGTTCAAGCAGCTGCTCGGATACTCGGAAGGCCCCGCAGACTACATCGCCGACTTGCTCGCTGTGCTTGTCAACGAATACGAGCAAATCGCGATCGGCGAGGAGTTCCTGCGCATGGTGGCTAAGGTAACGTGGACGTCAGCGGATACGACTGGACCCAAGTCATTTGCGCGTTTTCTCGTGCATCTCGCGGAGGTCGCGCCGCGCTTGGTGTTGAAGGAACTTAACGCGCTGCAGAACCACTTGGATAACGACATACGTTGCCATTGTTCATACGCCTACTTGTACTAACTCACACCTCGTCTAGTCCTACCAGATGCGCAACGCCATCGTTGAAATATTCGGACTTCTGATCCGCGACCAGCTCCAAACCGCCGTCGACTTCAAAGAAGTCACGCCCACAGTCGACCCTCTCTACACCGCCCTCCTCCAACGCACGCGCGACATATCCTCCTACGTCCGCTCCCGCGCCTTCCAAGTCATCGCCAAAGTCATCGACGTGCCCCAGAACGGCGCCTTCCGCAACCAGCGCATAAAGATGGCGCTCAAAGCCAACGCCGCGTTGATGGATAAGACGGCGACAGTTCGGAAGTACGCGCTTATATGCCTGCAAAAGCTTATTCAGACACATACGTTCGCGACGGTTAAGGACGGGAAGGAGTTCACGGATTTGCCGAAGGAGGCGTTTGCGGAGCAATATGAGCAGTTTTGCGCGGACGAGAAGCAGCATAAGGCTGCGCTTAAGGCTCTCGCTGCGCCCAACGAACCCCCTCAAGGTGCACCGCCCAAGGAGAATGAGGCGGAGGCAAGTCAGACGCCCAAGAAGAAGAAGAAGTACGCGACTCGACGTCTTGTTCGCTCGTACTCGTTGCTCAATAGACTGCAGGTCGAGGAAATCACGCGCCGAAGACGATGAGAGCATGGAGGTTGACGGTGAGGGCGCCGAGGGCGAGGAAGCGGAGGACGAGGAAGACGTCGACGACGCCGCCGATAGTATCGTGTCTGCCGACGGCGAACCCAAGCCTAAGGCCGAGGAGGAGCCCGAAGTGGACATCAGCACGCTCGACCTTTCCGGCCTGAACGACGCGCAGCAAGTCCGAGCGAACCACGAGATCGAGAAGATCGAGATTGCGCAGAAGTACAAGAAGTACTACGGCGAGGTGAGCTTTCATCTCTTGCACAATGCATTGCACATACTGACGAGCCTTTCGTGTAGGCGTTGCAGTTTATCGGTGTCGTCGAGTATGCGATGGAGACGGCCTGCGATCTACTTGGTAGCAAGAACAAGGCCGAGGTTCTTGAAGCCATCGAACTGTTCCGCGTGGCGTACATGTATAAGATGTCCACGGCCGAGGTATGTTTTTCACCTATTCGCACCGCTGTCACGTCTGAACCTAGTCAACAGATCGGAATGCGCAGGATGATCCATCTTATCTGGCAGAAGGACAACAACGCTCCGCCCACGACTACGGGCGAAGAGGTCGTCTCGACCAAGGGCGTTCGCGCACGGCTCATCGACACGTACGACTCAATATACTTGACGCCGCAGCAACAAGTGGAGCCGCATAGGCGTGCGAAGGAGGTCGCGAAGCAGTTGATCGTGTGCGTGCACTCGTGTCATATCTTCCAGGGTAGCGTACTGACTAAGACTACGGCAGATTGACGTATAGCATGTCGCTCGCCGAGCTGACCTCGCTTGAAGAGCTTCTGCGCCAGATGACTGACGAGGGCAAGGTGGAGAGCGAAGTCATCGAGACGCTTTGGCTAGTATGTACCTCTTCATCGCGGGAGACTATGCTCGATACTGACCTGACTCCTGTAGGTCTACGAGGATAAACGCCCTCTTCCTGCCGTACAGCGCCGCGGCGCTATCATCCTCCTTGGCATGTTCGCGCTGTCCAAGCCGTCCATCGTCCGCGATAAGCAGTCTATTCTGCTCGAGATTGGTCTCGGCAAGCATGGCAAGGTAAATACTGGTGTGCTCTCAGATACCCGAACGTCTACTGACCATGCACCCTGCACAGGCCGACCTCCAACTGGCGAAGTACACTTGCATCGCCCTCCAGCGCATGACCGGCTTCAAGAAGAAAGTCAAGGGTTCGCTCGAAGATAATCGCCAGCGCTACGCCATGTCCAACCCCGTCTTCCGCCGCCTCATCGACGTCATCGAGACGCCAACGCACGACCGCGCGTGGTTCGCGTTCGCAGAGCAAGCTATCAACGCTGTGTATGCTCTCGCGGAGAAGCCGGAGGTCGTGGTGGAGAGGGTTATCAGGGATCTTACAAGGAGAGCGTTCACGAGCGCGCCTGCGGCCGATCTCGGCGGGTCTGCGCCGCCGCCTCAGCCTGAACAAGAGAAGCCGCAGGAAGAGAAGGATCCGGACGCGATGGAGACTGACGACGAGGGCACACCTACGCCGACGGGCGAAGACAGGGCCGCGACGCCCCAACCGCAAGCCGCACCCGGTCCATCACAGCCCAGCGCAATCCCAGGCGGAGACGCGGGCGATGCCTTCGGCCTCAGCCAGATGTTCTTTGTCGTCGGCCACGTCGCGATGAAACACATCGTCCACCTCGAGCTCATCGAGCGCGAGATGAAGCGCAAGAAGCAGGAGCAGGAGATGGCGGCGAAGCAGGGCGCCAGCCAGGCTGAGAAGGAGGACGAGATTGAGCAGGTTGCGGGGAATGCGGAGGATGACATTGGGGAGCATATTAAGGTGGTTAGGGAGGAGGAATTGCTGTTTGGGGACAGGAGCTTGTTGAGGGTGTATGGGCCTTTGCTGGTGTATGTCTGTGGGTCACCGCAGATCTACAAGGTGTGCCTGACAGTCGAATGCCTCTACGTCGACCGGTACTGATGCCATGATCAGGACGCGACACTGCGTGCGGCCGCCACGCTCTCCTTCGCCAAGTTCCTCTGCATCTCCGGCAAGTTCTGCGAACAGCACCACATGCTCCTCTTCAAAATTCTCGAAACATCCCGCGACCCCAACATCCGCGCGAACATCGTCATCGGCATCGGCGACCTGGCCGTATCCTTCGCCACCATCATTGACGAGCGCCTCAACGCCCTCTACATGGGGTTGAGCGCCGACGACCTGATCGTGAAGAAGAACACGCTGATGGTGCTCACCCATTTGATCTTGAACGGGATGATCAAGGTCAAGGGTCAGCTGGCTGAGATGGCGAAGTGCATTGAGGATGGGGAGCAGAGGGTTAGCGATTTGGCGAAGTTGTTCTTCAACGAGCTGTCGACGAAGGACAACGCGATCTATAACAACTTGCCCGATAGTGCGTATTTCTCTCTTCCTGACCTTCTGCTCTCTGCTGACATCGTCGTGCAGTGATCTCTCACCTATCATTCGGCCGCTTCGCGGTATCCGAAGAAGTCTTCCAGAACACCATGCGCTACATCTTCACCTTTGTCGAGAAAGAGCGCCAAGCAGAGAGCATCATTGAGAAGCTCTGCCAGCACTTCAAGCTCGCGCCCGACGCCCGTCGATGGCGCGATATCGCCTTCTGCCTCTCGCTTCTGCCCTTCCGCTCGGAGAAGAGCTTGAAGAAGCTTATTGAGGGGTTGCCGCATTATAAGGATAAGCTCCACGACGAGGGCGTTTATTCGAGGTTTGTGGAGATTTTGGCCAAGGCGAAGTTGGCGAAGAAGAATGAGCAGGAGATTACGGATTTCGAGAAGGTACGTAGTGCTGTTGATTTGTGCGCGAGGTGGACTTGAACGCTGATGTGTGTGGACAGATCTTAGATGATAATAAGCAGAAGGGTGAGGAGGGCCAGGAGTTCGAGAAGCAGGTTGAGAAGAATAAGTCGAAGGCGAAGAAGCGGGCGACTACGAAGGAGAAGGCTGCGACCACTGCTCCGGCGAAGCGTACGCTGGACCCTCGTACAATCAATGTATGAGATTCTGACAAGGCTTTTGCAGGTGCTACCCGTACGCGGAAGAAGACAGCTGCAGCTGATGATGACGATATGTTCGAGGACAACTAGTAAACCAGTCTACGTTCTCGGCCTCATCTCTGGAATCATTGCCTGCTTTTCCATCACTATTCGTGCATTCCGTTTTCTATCATTGCATAGCTCCGTTCGCATCTCGCTCCGTATCTGGCCTTCTGCATCACTCTACTCGTGTAACCTCGCTACTACTTACTGCACCCGTTCCGTGTACTTTACCCCCGCATATCACTCCGCACGTCCTTTCTGCTCACCGATGATCCTGTGCTTGTATAGATATGCATTGATGTATACCAACATCTAATCCTGACTAGGGTGATTGAGGATACAGGCGCAGCGTATTGCTCACGACTCGAACCATATCGGGCGCCGCCGGCGGGAAGTTCTCACGGCTCTCCTGGGAGCCGCGCGTCCTCTCATTGGAACTCGCATCACACCCACTACACTCACCCACGACGACCGTCAGCAGAGAGGTTGCTCAGGTTGACGACGTATCTATTGCTACTATGCTAATGCTTTTCTGTCGCATGATACCAAGACAGCAAGACCAACCATACCGCAGGCTGGCGCCGCGCGCGCTTTGCGAATGTAATGTTCCAAAACCCTTTTATCTTTCTCGCGACATGGGTTCTGTTATGATTGACAACTACTCTGCGCCATGCTTATCAGCTTTCAAAGATGGTCATGAACTTCTGAGTATAGATGACTGCTTTGGTCTCGTTGTCGTCCTGCCTTCCGTTCCGTAGACCTCTCGCTCGCGCGTGTTGTCCGCGCGCTTGACGCGAAGACTCACAGGCTTGGCCGTTTGCAGGATTGTGCACAAAGTCGCAACCTGTCTCCGAATATGGCTGGCGCTTGCTACGCTGACGTCTGCCCAGTTCTTGCCAGACGCCATTCCGATCGCCGCTTGATCTCCTTACCTTCTCACCTATCTCCCGACCATCACTTCGCAGAATTACTCCAGGATATGGCAAATTGGGTACAGCACGCAAGTCAGTCTTTAAGCTCCAACATACGAGTCACGTGCTGATATACTGGTGTACAAGATACAAGCGTTGGCCGGTTTCATCCGGGTTAACGGAAAAACGTATGCTTGGGCTGGTAATATCGATGACTTCCCGTCTGGCATACTAGACCCTGTTCTGACGGGACCTCGACTGACCCTCAGCCCGACGCGCTCCATCTTCACGTACCAAGCTGGGCCCGTGGAGGTGAGTGTGACATTCCTCAGTCCTATCAAAGTGAGTGGGCGTTAGAGTCCATCATCAACTTTGTCACTTAATTGCATATAGCCAGGTGATATGGTGAAGCAGTCAATCCCTGTGGTGTACGTTTTGTTGGACATGCAGGCGACAGACGGTGCATCCCACGACGTTCAAGTTTACACGGACATATCTGTTGGCGCGTAGCTCAATACACCGTAGCCCACATACGCTGGTTCCATTGGCAGAATGTGTCTCGGGAGACCGCACCCAGAACGTCACTTGGTCTACGGATACAACAGACACTGTCATAGCCTATCACTCGGTCTCTGCGGTGAAATAAGTGCCATATCAGGAAGTCGCCGCCCAGTCAGCTTGGGGGCACTACTCGGCTTCGAGAACATCTAGCGTGACGTACCGGACGGGCAGCGACATGTCTACGCGAGGGCAATTCATCAGCATCGGGACACTGGACAACACGCAGGATACAGAGTATCCTCGCATAAACAAGTATACTTGTTTCGATCACTTCAGCATCATATTGTGCTAATAGGAGAAGTTTCTTCCCAGTCTTTGGCTTCGCCCACGATCTCGGGGCTGTCTCCGAAACGGCTGGACGTCTCGTCTGAGCTGATGCGAACGTCCGCGACTCACCGAATACGGGAAGGCACACATATGCGAGCCTTACGGGGAAGGTACAGACACGCAGTCTGTACTATCGAGGGCTGTAGTTGTCAATTTACTTAGTTTCTGGTGGTTATACCCGGGCATCCGTGCTTAAGATAACCAGGTTTCCACAGAACGCTAACCACCTGGGCAGTGGAAGTGGTTAGTAGCTGGTGGATAATAAACAATGTTCCAGGCAGTAATTAGTGGGGTATAATACAGGCCTAGCAGGTTTTCGGCACATCCCGAGGAACCTAGAATATGCAGATTAAATGGGTACCCAGCTTTTGATGGGAAGCAGGCTGCCCGCGAGCTCGGCACCTGCCGGGCTGGCTGCCTGATGGCCCCTGCCACCCGCCTCGTGCT